ATTTGGAGGGTTTTATTTTCAATAAATTTTGCACTTTAGACTTTTGCACTTTACACTTTATTTGAAAAAATTAAAAAAAGTTTTTAAAATTTTGTAGAATAAGCCCTCCAAGTAAAATACTTGAAAAGACAGAAAAAAAATGGAGTAATAGGTTTTTTACCCCTATTGGCCCTAAAATGCCCCGATTGTTAATTCTAAAATATTTTTGTTATTATATTGAATATAATTATCTATACAAATTATAATGAGTGATAGATAATTTAGTATAATTTACGTCTATCACTATATCATATTAAAAATAATTTTACAGAAAGTTTAATGGATGGATCTTTTAAGGTACATGGAAACTTTTTTTTGCATATAATAATTATTAAAATTTAAAGTAAAATAAATTGTTTCTTATTTAATTTGAGTGTTGTTTATCATCTAACAAGTAAGTGTATTCATTTTCAGTATTAATTTTTACCTAAACTTCCTCTCTAGAAAAAAATTTATAAAATTAATTTAATAAATTAAAATAAAAATAAAATTTCTGTTTAATATATGCATTAGTGTTTATATTTCTATTTTAAGTGCATACATACATGCATACATACATTTTTTATTTTATTTTAGTTATATATCCCTCAACTAACAAGGATATTATTAATTTAAACTATATTTATAAAATCATTAATTAATTGTTGCCTTTAGAATTAAAATATGTATTACTTAGGATATCATAATATCTATATGATTAAATTTGATAAATCCTTTTTTATTTTTTCAAAATTTCTACTTTAATTAAAAACACTTAATTAAAGATTTTTTTTCAATTTTGAAATAAGAAATAACACCAAAAAATGGAAAATCAGATTAATCAATCTAAATCAATAAAAATATTACTTTTCGGAGATTGCTTGACAGGAAAGTCTTCCTTGCTAATAAGATACTTTTAGGATAAGTTCTATGATTATCCTAATTACTATGGGATTGAATTCTACCAAAAACTTTTAAAAAGAGTAAACAAACATTCATTATTCTTAAAATCTAAAATTTTAATGTTTTTTGTTAGGGAAAAGAAGAAATTAAAATTTAATTATGGGATTTCCATTCAAATGAAAGAATGTACTACATAAGCTAATTTCTGTATAGAACTTTTTCATTTGTAATAATTTGTTATGATGTTACAAATAGAAAAAGTTTTTAAAAAGCATATAATTGGTATTTGAACTTTAAGAATAATCAAATCAATAATAAATTGATGGTTTTATCTTTAATTGGGAATAAATGCGATTTGTAGGAAGAACTTAGATAAGTTTCTTATCAAGAGGGTTAATAGCTTGCTTAATCTTTGGGAATGGTTTTCTTTGAAGCTTCAGCTAAAACCGGTTATCAAGTAAAGGAATTGTTTGATTTTATAATTGAGTAGACTCTAAATATAAATTGAAATGTCTAAAAGCTATAAATAGTCTTGTGATAAAATGAATTAAATATAGTTAAGTTAGGAAAACTATTAATTTGTATTTAAAAGCAGCAAAAATATAAAAACCATTATGTTTAAAAGTCAAAATAAATAAAAGAATAAATATTTGTTAAGTTAGCTTATTTTTGAAATAGTTCTACAAGGTTTCAATTGATTCTAACTTATTTACACCTTTTTAGATATTTCAACTATTAAATTCCTAAATTAATATCTAATTAATTCCTATAAAAAGTAAATTAAATATGTGTTATTATTGATAGTAAATTAAGAATTTATATTTTTTAAAATAAATCTTATTAGCTATTTTAAGTTACATTATGAAATCTATTCAAATATTTAGTTACATTTTTTAAATAAGATAAAACCAATTTACTTTATAAACAACAAAAAATTGAAATAAATTTGAAATATTTCTGGCTGTATCAATTCTCCTTTTTTATTTTTCCAAAATAAATTCATGCATGATTGATTGTTTTAAAAAAATGGTATATAATCAATCAATTAATTAATAATATTTTAACATCTGAAATTTCTAAATTTTTTGCTAATTGTAAAAATATTAATATAAAAATGACTAAATGGTAGCTTAAGTATTTTTTTTTCTTTTTTAAATCAGAATATGTTTTATCTTTAATAAAAAAATTTTATTTTTTTTTTTAATAATTCAATTTTTTATGGAAAAAAATAAATATAAAAAATTCATTAAATTTTTTTGATTTAAATGAC